TGTTGGTCGTTCGAACCAGGTTCGGGTCTCGTGGAAGCCATAGCACCAGAGGCAACTCTCCTTCTTCGTAAAATAATCTTACACAAAAACCCGGCAACCCAAAGCGGGAAGCCGCAAAGTGAAAGTCCTGGACCCCTTGAAACCCTCCTTCAAACCCCAGGGCCACAGAACGAGGGACCTCTCAAGAGGAACCGAAAGGGAGCCGCCTAACAACGCACAAACAGTGCTAGCCTCAGCGGACTCCAACATCATTTCTTGAGCCATTCGCACGGTCACAACCGGATCAACAGTTTCGCATCCCTTGGATGGCATCTGTGCACACATCCGTGTTACGACACGATCTATACATGAACACGTATCAAACTGCACAACTGCATCATGCCAGCACCGCCAGTTAAACACCAACACTCCTCCTTGGGCTGCCGGTGATAACTGGCTAGCCCACTCTCCGGTGTAGCTGCTGGCGGTTTTGACAATACTGGCACAGTTGTAAATTCCTTCGCCTTGAGGTAGCATTCCGAAGTCCATGGCAGGTAGGCTCGTAGTGAACCCGGTCCCCATGCTCGCTTACCACAAACGGGCCATTAAAGGGCCTATACCCATCATCGAAGTCTGTTTGCACTGCAGCCGTTGCAGTCTGAACAGCTCGGACTTCCGGTATGCTCCTGACTGGCGAAGGGCGCGGTGTAGTACGCACAGAGGCCAACGGAGTGCTTGGGGCCTGGGTCGCCACGCCCAGATCATCCAAGCCGTATCTTGCAACCTCTTCTGACACCGCTTGCTGTAGCCGCCTCAACCGGCGGACTTGTCTGGCATCTTGCACCGAACCACTTTGCTTTAGCGAAATCCACTCAAGGCACCATTTCAAAGCTTCCCACACCCCAATAGCAGCAACCAAAGCTACCGCAGCTAAGCCATATAGCTCCCATGGAAAACTCACCTGAAGCCCAACATCACCCTCAGTTGGAGATGCCCTTGACGCTTGAACCAGCCATCCCAGCACCACCGCAAGCCTGGCCAAAATAGCAATCGTGCCATTCACCTTAGCCAAGTTGCCGGAAGGCCTCGAAGGTTTTTCGCCTTGAGCACTCGGGGTTTTTAGACCCCATAACATCAAGAGTTCCTGTAGGCGAGGACGATGGAACGCTTTCGTCCCCAGGTCGCCAAGTTGATTGAGCCCGGGTATGTGCTCAATCGATATCTCTTTCAGCCGAACAGCTTCCCTCAAATGGTAGGCCCGTACCCGAAGATGTCGGGTTTTCCACGTGCCCGCCGATTCACTGCTCAACCCAACAGCGGCAGCGTTATCGACCTTCAACACCAACGTAGGCGACGCTGATTGCAGTTCACTGGTGACGGCAATGATCCCGTAGGACATCTGAGCTGCACTTATCGCCTCTATGAGCTCTGCCTCTGCAACGCTCAAAGCCACCAAAGCTTGCCTTCCGCATCTCCAGGCTACTGGCTGCTCTAAGTATCTCGTGAGACAGCAACCCACGCTTCGAGAGCCATGCGGGGCAAAACTCGCGTCGCTAAAGCCCTCGACGTAGTGGTCTAGGCGCTGCGGAGTGTAGTAGAGCTCAAGGTCGATCGTTTCCTTGAGGTAGCCCAGGGCTCGCAGTCCTATTTTTTCGACCAAAGCCGGACACTTCAAACACCATGAAGACATCGTAGCGACGGTGTGGAGGAGGTCGGGGCGGCTTTTGCCGCTTAACCATAGAAGCTCTCCTGTGAGAGCTTGAGCCTTCCTCAGCTGGGGCTCCTCATACTGCTCTTCCAGGGCATCGTTCTCCCCCAGCAACCACTCTTGAGGGCATGGAATCGAATAGCCCTTGGCCTCAGCCAGGCCATGATGTCTGAGGAGCTCCTCAATATAGCCACGTTGATGCAAACGGATGGCTCCGGAGTCCTCCCGTGTAATCTCCAAACCCAAAAACCTCAAAGAGCACGTCTCGGAAGCCCATGTCAGGGGGGAAGCCTTCCACTCCTCTGTTAGCCAGCTGTGGATGGCTTCTATGATGCCTTCCCTGCCGACATACAGGATATCATCGACATAGACATTGACGTAGGCTTGTATCTCCTCCTTACCATCCGGGCCAACAACAACCGCCGACCAAATATTCTCATCCGCCTTGTGTTGCCGAAGGTAGATATAGCCGTTGCCATAGGCTATTTTTGCTGCACGTAGCCGCCGGTCACGGAACTTACCCCAAAGCCGGGGTGACCTCCTGAACCCATATAAAGCCCTGTCGACCCTCCATAGTCTCAAAGAGTACTCGACCTTGGCAAGCTGGAAAACCTTCGGGGGGTACAAGGCGTACGTTGCATCATCATCTTCATCCTCCTCCTTGATCGGGGCGAGGATAAAGGCATTGCGGATGTCGGTGGAAGCCACCATCCAGCCATACGCGGCTGCGTGCACCAACATTACACGGAGCGAGTCCGTCTGACATCCCCCAGCGTAGGAATCTTCCTTGGCTTGCTTCCCTTGGAAATTCCCACATATCACCAACCTCGCTTTTCTCTTGAAGAACTCGGGAGAACCAGGAGGTAGATCGCGGCCACTGTCATCCTTGAGCTTCTCCTGGTCTGGGGGCTTAACAGTGAACACGCCCTTGGCCGGTAGGACAACGAGACGTCCCGAGGCTTCCAACTCCTTCTGCTCCTCTAAGGTGAGGGGGACCAAGGCCTTGGCCTTGATAAGGGCCTCGGCCTCCTTGTGGATCGCGTCAACCCACCGAGTGACATACTGCTTCACCTCATCCAAGGCAACCGTAAACACCACCTTGAGGGGCGCCGAAAGGGTTTCGAGGAGAGGTTCCACGCCTCTCACTTCATTTTCTCCCTCGGCTAAGCGGCACAACAGCAACCATTGCTCAGCATCATAGCGGTCCCTACATAGGTCAGCTTCACGAGCGTCCAGGTCCTTTGCTAGCATCTTGTTGGCATCAACCACACCCTCAAAGTCCTCGGCCTCATCCTTGCCCAACATAGATAGCAAACTCTCCTCCTCATCGAGCAACCTCCTAGCCCACATCCTCTTCCACATCTCCTCGTCATCATCCGAGCCACGAGGAAACCAACCGGGGCCTTGCAGAAGAGATGTAGTGGTATTGCACTCCTCCTGTGCGGATACCTTCCTCAGGTCGCTGGAGGTAGGAAGATTGAAACCAAGCGCTTGTAGTTCATCACGATGTTCTTGGGTCAACTTGTGGTGTTGCCCAACTGTGTGAGCAATGACTGTCCACTTTGGTCCACCCTCCCAGGGCATAGTTTTGTGCAGCTTCTTGGGGTCGACCTCAACGACCCGGTTCCGGACCTGGCTCACAAATCCACGCACTGCCACATCGGGACCATTCTGAACAGACACAGCAGGAAGATCATCCCGTTCACCTTCCTGCCAAATACCTCCACCCTCAAAGTTACCAACGGTCAACACGTAGTTCTTGGAGGTCCTCAAATTAAACCGATCTCTATGAGCATCCGTGCACAGGTCGCGGGCCACTGTCATCGAGGTAAAGGAAACATCTTGGCCACAGTGGTGTTTAAACATCGCGACCAGGTAGGCGGCCAAAGATCTATGTCTTGTCGTAGCCGTTGTAACTCCAGACCAAGGGCCTCTCTGGTAAGCTCCCAAAGTAGTGTGGACTGGTGGCGGAGCATTGTCTTTCCATGCGGATGCTCGCTGCTTCTTCGTCCGCCGATAGTTCTCGTTCTGTAGAACTTCCAAACAGTCATTCATTGAAAAACGACGTTCAGCTAGACATTCCGCAGCGAGATCACCTCGTGGTCCCAAACGAGCTGAGCCTGTAGTAGACCCCGACGACACTTCAAAGGCTTCCAGAGTCACATCCTCCTCCAAGGCATCCTCTGAAGAAGAACTCGAGGAAGTAGAGG